TTGGCTGAAAGCAAAGAATACAAGAAAGATGTTTATCTGTGTTTTATAGACTAGGCAAAGACATTCGACTATGTGGATCGTAACAAATTATGGATAACATTGCAAAGAATGGGAATTCCAGAACACTTAATTGTGCACATGAGGGACCTGTACATAGAACAAGAGGCAGTTACTCAAACAGAACAAGGGGATATTATATCATTGAAAATCAGAAAATGAGTGTGCCAGGGCTGTATTCTTTCACCATACTTATTCAATCTGTATCCCAAGCAAATAATCCAAGAAGCTGTACCCTGTGAAGAAGAACACAGCCTCAGGATTGGAAGAATACTCATTAACAACCTGCAATAAGCAGCTGACCCAAGCTTGCTTGCTGAAAGCAAAGAGGACTTAATGATGAAGCACTTACCAATGAAGATCAAAGACTACAGCCATCAGTATAGATTACACTTCAACATAAAGGAAACAAAAACCCTCACAACTGAACCAATAAGCAATATCATGATAAATGGAGAAAAGATTGAAGTTGACAGGGATTTCATTTTACTTGGATCCACAATCAACCCCCATAGAAGCAGCAGTCAAGAAATAAGATGACATAATTACACTGGGCATATCTGCTGCAAAAGACTGTGAAGTTTTAAAGAGCAAAAACTTTGAAGACTAAGGTACACCTAACCCAAACCATTGTATTTTCAGTCACCTCATATGAACATAAAACCTGGAAAATGAATAAAGAAGACAGAAGAAGAAGTGATGCATTTAAATTATGGTATTGGTGAAGAATATTGAAAATATTATGGATTGCCAGAAGAATGAACAAATCTGTCTTGGAAGAAATACAGCTGAAATGCTCTTTAGAAGTGAGAATGGCCAGACTTCATCTCACATACTTTGGTCATTTTGTCAGAGGGACCAGTCCCTGGAGAAGAATGTTGTGCCTAGTAAAGCAGAAAGTCAGTGAAAAAGGGGAAAACTCTCAACAAGATTGATTGACACAGTGGTTGTAATGATGGACTCAAACATAGCATAGATTATGAGGATGGCACAGGTTCAGGTAGTGTTTCATTCTGTTGTATATGGAGTCATTATGAGTTGGAACTGACTTGATGGCACCTAACAAAAACAAGAACACGTGGTTGTCATGAATTGGAATCAACTTGATGGCAAGAGGATTTTTTTTGTTTGTTTTGAATTGTTTTCTGTGTTATCTATGGAGTCCCTGGGAGCTCTGGTGGTGTAGTGCCTAAAGCATTTGACTGGTAACCAGAAGGCTGGCAGTTCAAACCCACCAGCCACTCCTCGGAAGAAGATTGGGTAGACTTCCATAGAGATACTGCCTCCGAAACCCAAGGAGGGGTTGCTATGAGTTGGATTCTTCGACTCAACAACAGTGAGTTTGGTTTTTGGATGGAGTCCCTGAGTGGTGCAAATGGTTAATGTGTTTGGCTGTTAACTGAAAGTTTGACAGTTCAAGTCCATTCAAAGGCACCTCAGAAGAAAGGCCTGGCAATTTATATCTGAAAAATCAGCCATTAAAAATGCATAGTTCTACTCTGAAATATGTGGTGCCACCATGAGTCAGAGTTGACTAGATGGCAACTGGATTTATGTATTTCATTTATTTGAAGATGCATTATTTCATTTAAGTCTTCATAACAACCTCATAAGGTAATTTTCATTACCCTCATTCTTTTAACCCATGAGGAAACACAGATGGTGGCTTAACTTGAACACAGACTCTAGGCCTTAGGCTCTTTTCACCAGGCTATGCTGTCTTCTGATAGTCCTGAGTCAAATGTAATAGATTCAAGGATCTACAGTCCTGCTGTTAAATAGGTAGATGTTACTCTTTTTAATTTTAGTCACTTTTATAAAGTTCTATACAGTAAAATATCCTCTTTCTAGTGCATAGTTTGATAGATTTAGACCTTTGCAGCCATGTAATCACCATAACAATCAAGAAAAAAATAGTCTTATCACCTTCCTCTCCCAAATTCCTCATGTTGCTCTTTGTAATCAACTCTTTCCTGCAATCCTGGCAATAGCTGATCTGTTTTCCATTACTATAATTTTGTCTTCTTTCAGAAAACATCTATAATCTTAAAATTTCTGGCACTCAGGAGTTAAAAGGATGCCTGGCTTCCTCTGTGAATGTAAAATGACCACAGTAATACAAGAGCATGTTACAAGGATAGTCACAGAAACATGATACATGGAACAGATGCATGTACAAGAACAGGAACATGGTATTATATGGAACAAGTATATGGTACATGGAACAGGTGTACTTTGACCCTCAAGCTTCCCACATTTAGGCAAATATGGCTTTGTTTTCCTAGCCACATAGATGGATCACTAGGTGCCTATAATCTTATGAATTAAGAGCAATCCTCTATCTGGGAAAGTCATCATCCAGGAGACTGGATGGACACATTGGCACAGTCAGAGAAAGGGAGGAAGAGGACTCCTCAGTGTCAGTGGATCTGATAAAGCCATCCTGGTCCTCAGGGGCTCCCGTGTCATAGCCAGAGTGCCATCGCATATCTGGTCTGGTTCCATCTGCCCTGGCTCTGAACTCTATGTTCACCTTTGAAGCCCCAGTCCAGTATGCAGAGACCTGGCCCCAAGGTTCTGCTGTTTCTTCCACCTAATGCCTCGGAAACCAAAGGAGGGGTCACTATGAGTCGGGTCTGACTCCATGGCACATAACAACAACAACAATGCTCCCTGGATACAGAAACACTCCTTCAAGCCATCTAAATACAAACATGGCCAGTTTTCAACACTGCTACTTGGGAGTTGGAAGGAAGGTTGGGTAATCCACTGCCTTAGTGATACTGCCTTGGAAACCCAAGGAGGGGTCGCTATGAGTCAGATGAGACTCCATGGCAGTGGTTGCGCTGCATTTTACCAGGAGGCTTTCGGGATGTTCCACCTCCAGTGCCTTGGCTGACAAGAGCCCATATCATCAATTGCAGTTTAGAGCAGAGCTTTCCTGGCCAATAGGGATTCCAGAGTGTGACATGACCAACGTTCTTATAAGATTATGCAATTCAAATAGTCAAGTATCCATTTCCAGACAGTACAGAAAGCAGTGACTGTGAAAAGCATGCGTATAACGCCTATTGGCAAGTATTGGGCTCTATGAAAACAGAGACTGAGAAAGTCCAATCAAGTGCCCATGCCACAGACAGGGACAGTGAGGTGGGGATTCTCCTGGCACTGCTCCCTCATTCAGAGGAGAGTTAATGGCAAATGTGGAGGAAGTCTGCATACCAAACATCAAATATGATTCCTAAAAGAGAAGTGTCATGTTCTTTCAGTCTCACCATGCTTTTATTTCCTTTTAATATTCAGAATACCTGGGCACATAGCCAGAAAAACAGCTACAAAGCCTCCACTCATGGCATTGAAATTGGAAAAAATTTCCAAGGACCTTTTCATTGGCAGGAATCATGTTAGGGATAGAGGGGGAAGTCAAAGTGAGGAGAGAGGGTAAGGGGTGAGAGGAGAGATAGAGGGAGTATAAAGAGAGACAGAGACAAGGGGTGGCAAGGGGAGGGGAGGGGAGCCAGAGAGATTTTTCTCTGTAATTCAGATAAGCCTTCAGCACAAATAGTTAAGTAAATCCATATGTCAATTTTTAATATGTACATTTCAGGCAAAGTATTAGATTTTTAAAATAAAATGAGTAGATAACAGAATCTAATATTATTTTTTTTTTTAGTAAAAAAATCAGTGACATATAAGAATGTATTAGACTATTCATTTTGAGATGAAATGTCTTATGTTTAATTGATCAACATCACAAAGTGTTCATGCCACAAGCAACTTCATAACACCCAGGTGTGTCCAATGACTGCTCCAACACCAGGCGGGTGACCTGAGCCTCACTCCCATCCAAAGTGTCCATTGACCTGGGCCCGGCAACCTCATGGGTCACAGGCCACTGACCTGCAGGCGTTCAAGTCCTAACCACAGACCTCAGCTCCTTGCAGACCTTCTTTGAGCTGCAGCAGAACCTGCTTGGGCAGGTGGGGTTCTGTAGGCACGTTTGAGTGCAGGCACAGTGCCACGTGAGCCAGCTGGGATCGGGGCCTTGGAGGCCTGGCCTGGTATCTAAAGTCAAGTAAAGGTTTACACACAAAAGGAAATTTTCTTTGTTGGTTACCAGGGATGGGTGTTGAAAGGAAGGAAAATGCTGACTGTTTAAGAGATGTGTTGATTTGGGTGAAGGGAAAGGCAATATAAGAAAAGTGTGTGATCAACACAACACTGAAGAAATGGAAGACAGAGAGGTGCACAAGAGGTACAGACAACAAAGGTAAATACTCTTACATACACAATACCACATTATCAGTAATAACAAACACTAATCTACAGGTGGATACATAGGTAGACAGGCAAGAAGATCAGGTATGGGTAGGTGTATGGG